TGTATTTCGTTTCATTGCAATGATTATAATCCCCTCCATACATCATCAAAATAACCAAAGGGTACACCACACAGGCCCGCCCCCAGGTCGCCAGCACACAGCCCCTCTCCCTCCCTCAGTCCAGTGTCCCCAGCCACTCAATCTGTCCATGTCATCCTCTCTGTTTCCATTCCTGGCGTCACTGCCTCTCAGGTAGGGTCCTGCTCTCGGTTCTTCTCACAGTGACCTCCGCTCATGGGTTGGCAAATCAGTCATTCCCCTCCTTTTGTCAAAAAACATCTACCTCTACATTTTCGACTCTCACAGTCAGCCCTGATGGCAGTTATTCACTATTGTACCACAAGAGTCTTAACCCCATTTCCTTTCCCCAGCCCTGTCCCAATCAATTGGAAATCATTCAGTGGAGATTCTACCTTCCCCCGCCCCATCTGGAACTAGGCTCCCTCTTGAAAGCTTGTAAGTCAGCACTTCTTGCCTTTATAGCCGCCCCCTCCCCACCATTTTGGGTAGCCAATGTCTAAATTGCCCATCTCTGTCAACCCTGCATACCGAGGGGGTGGAAGTGATCCTCCCTGTAAAGATTTGTTCCCTTTTTGAGCTACTGCATCCATAAGTATAGGTTAAGTTAATCAAATTGTAGCAGGTTACTTTTTTTACCCCCTCTTCTTTCTTCTTCTCGTTGAGTTTTGATCATCCAGCCATTGATGCCAGGTCAAGTGAGTACTATTTGCAAGTATGGGTGTTCTTGCGCATCACCCCTCACTTCAAATCAGCTGGATGCTTCAACCTCCGCTCTAGTCCTCTCTGGCCATGTCACTGCCGCTGGGCTCAGAAGTCCCCGGGTCTTGCTATATTGCTGGCCATTCAGGTCTCCACATGGGTTCATGGGTTCATGAATGTGGTCAGGCGTAGCTCACAACTTCAATGCGGTTTTTTCCCCCTCTTCCCCTTATTGGTGACCAACATGGTCACCAGCCAGACCACATGCCTGCTCATGTATTCTCCTTGAGTCTCAGTCTTGGAAGGGGGTTTGCTCTGAGGGGTCCTGACCACTTACCTTGATGGCTCCCGGGCGAACAGCTTACTTGTTCTTGTAGTAATAAATCTGACTGCCGTTGTTGTTTTGGATTTTCCTGCCAGTCTTTCATGGAGTATCCTCTGTTCTTTCAGCTCCTCCAGGCTGGTCTGCTTGTCCTTTCCAGTGGAAATTTCCTACCTCAGTCTGTTCTGGGTGGGGTTCTGGATTCCTCCTATGGTCTTGTGCAATGTAAAGGCTCCACAGAAAGATTCTTTCCCTGGGCAACTTCTAGCCCCCTTTAAGGTATTCTAATCAGTTACAGGCTGAAGACAGACCTACAAGCATTCTGTAGTGATGATTCTGGC